GGAGAACCTGTAAAGTCAACAGCGTTTTTCGATTTTGTTTTTGTAATTAATTTTTAATCCTTTCTTTTGTGACTGAAATAGCTTTTAAGCAGAAATAACGAAAGAAGGTTACCACCTCTATTTGTATTTTTTATCATTTAATACTAAATAAATTCATATACCAGACCCAAGGTTTGATCTATTTTAATTAATTAACATTTTTTATTGAAATATTTTTCAATGGGTGGCTTTGTTCGTTTAGACATTTCCTTCATTTGGTACCAAACTTGTTTAATTTGGATAGGAGGTTTGTTTATTATCCGGAAAAGACTTTTAATTTGGAATAAAAAATATTTGGCCAAGTTCAACTGTTAAAAAAAAACTGTTATTTTCGGTCTCTTCAATATTCGCATTCGCAAAAGATCCGCATTGATTATTGTGAATGCGAAAGCGAATATTAAAATTAATGCGGAAGCTCCGCGGTTGCGAATGCGAATGCGAATATTCGCAACAACCCTGGTATGTATGTATGCATACATATGTATGTATTTCTTTATCGTTAATTCTGCCTTCACTTTTTTACCTTCATTTCATTTTTCATCTTCACATTTATCTTTTCATCTTCATTTCTAATACGAAGTGAAACAGCATGCGAAAACATGTCAAATTGAACATGTTGCAGCAACATCTATACACAAATACGGAAATGTTTAAACGACGGTTTTGTAATTTTCAACCAATTGTGAAACCATGAAAACTCTCCCTATCTACAGAGATATAACTTTCCAATGGTGTTCTTGGTTTTGAAATCGGTTCGATAGAATCGCCAAACGAACGGAGACAAAATTTGTGTTAGCGTATTAATATATAGATATAACCAGAAAATACTGAAAATTCGCTTCAGATAATATGCTCTTTCAAATACATTTATGCAAGTTTTATGTATAGTATGTAAAAAATAAATAAACTTTTTAAAGTTTCATAAATTGCACTTTATTTACATAAAATTAATAAAAAAACTCAAACCTTTTTAACCAACTTCAAAACCAAATTCTTTCAATAATTCTTCTTTTATCGGAAAGGAGGAACTTCAAGGGTCTTCCCGTAATTTGGTTTAGATCCGATCATAGGATCATGAAAAAATTAACGGTACTCCTAAAATTGTATATGCGACTTGAAGTCGGTTGAGTTTTTTACTTAAAAATTACTTGTTTAATAAAAAGTTCTAAAAACACGAAATGCGCTCAACTTTAAATGTCATAAAAAAATTTAAAAAAGAGTTTTAAGTTCAGTTTCTTTGATTTCTGGTTTTCGATGGAGATGGTGATTTTTCACGTTTACCTAATTTTTGTATTATTTCGAATACCGAAAAAATTAACTGAACTTGTATTTTTATTATGTGGAACGAATTCGAAGTAGGCAAATTAAATATTCGAATACTTGTTAAGTACACATCAGTGGTAAACTCTTTTAATCTGTAAAGTGTATCAAGTAAAACGAAGAATGCATATAAAATGACGCACAAGAAATGGAAAAGAAATTTTCTTCTACCAAAATTTCTTAAATCATTTTGCGGCTCTCAAGAAAAAAATTCTCGTATTTTTATTTCTTCAAGAAAATGTACAGCAAGAGCAAAGTGCTTGTGACTTTTCTTGAGAGCTGGATTCTAAGCTTTAAGATACAGTTTTTAATTAGGGTTATTAGCTCTAGCCGGCGTTTGAACACCAAAACCCACCCCTTGTGTGCGGTAATGATTACCATTGATAACACTAATACATATGTAGGTTTTACTTCTCTTTATTAATTTATATTAATTAATTACAAAACTATTAACAAAGGTTAGGCTGACACGTGTCGGGAAAAAGATGAAAAAGCGAATCAATGAAAAGATTTTGACATTTCTTAAGGTTACGTTGGCTGTGATTTGTGCTGTTGGAAGTTGTGCCGACAACAGAGTTGCCACAGTACTCCCCTTGGAGTAAGTGCGTCGGAATGTTACTATTGGTCGTGTGTCAAAAAAACAGGTTTCATACGATCGAAGCTTTTATTTCCCTACCATTCACATTGATTACGTAGTACTTTTGCATTCGTCTCAAAACCCTGTACGGACGCGAATACGGCGGCGACAGTGATGGTCTTATCTGGTCATCTCTCACAAAAACCTGGTGGCAAGTTTCCAGTTGCGGATGAACAAAAGGCTTCCGAACAGAATGCCAGGCATTATCGACGGGCCGTAGGTCTCGCATGGCTTGGCGAAGTTGTTGTACGACTGCGGATTCGGTCCTCTGGTCGTCGTTAATGTAAAATTCGGAAGGCAATCTAAGCATCGTACCATATACGAGCTCTGATGCGGTGTACTTTAGATCCTCTTTAAACGTGGAACGTAACCCCAATAGTATTATTGGCAAGTACGCGGGCCATCTCTGTGTGTCGTGGCACAAAATTGACGTTTTTAACTTCCGATGCCACCGCTCCACTATCCCATTTGTTTGCGGATGGTACGGTGTTGTGCGTAAGTGATGGACGCCCAATGTTTCACGAGCTCCTGAAATACTGAGCCTATGAATTGTCGTCCCAAGTCGGAAGTGATATCGACAGAAACTACAAATCAGCCGTTAATTAGCGCTCGAGACACGGTATATGCCGTCGAGTAGGCGATAGGAATATCTTCAGGCCAACGCGTAAAGCGGTCGGTAATAGTCAGCCAGTATCGACATCCATCTGCTAACGGAAATGGTCCAACCACGTCGATATTGATGTGGGCAAAGCGTTGTGAAGGTAGGTCCCTTCTTACAAGGGGTGTTCTTGCATGACGGCTTATCTTGTTACGTTGGCAGTTTACACAGGTCCGTGCAAATTCGATGCTGTCGTGGCGAATTCTAGGCCATACAAAGCGGTCGCACATGAGCTTTGCAGTAGCTCTTGAACCCGGATGCGATAAGCCGTGAGTGGCGCGAAGAACTTGCTGGCGAAACTTCCGTGTTATAAACGGTCGTATACGGTCGTTGGAGATGTCACAGTAAACACTGCGATTGTAGAAAGGAAGAGCACAACGTTTAAGATTTAACGAACTGGTACTACCTTCATCCAGAAACATTCTGAGTTCCTCGTCGTGGCTCTGTTCTTCCGCTAGCTCGTCGTAGTTTATCGGAGGTGCGTCGATTTGTTGAACACGATCTTCATTCTGCAGACTGTTTTCGGTTTGGACCTCTTCTGAATCGACACTGTTCCGCTGTATGCGGGAAAGAAGATCAGCAACGATGTTACTTTGACCTTCGACAAATCTGATGTCTGTTGTGATTTGACCGATAAAGTCCAGTTGACGCGCCTGTCGATCTGACGCCTTATAGAGCTTTTGCTTAAAAGCAAAAGTCAAAGGCTTGTGAACGGTGTAAATATGGCAGCACCTTCCTTCGATGAGATAGCGAAAGTAACGCGTCGCTAAGTACATGGCGATCGGCTTCCTATCATAGGTGCTGTATCTAGACTCGGCGTCGGAGAATTTGCGTGAAAAGAACGCAAGCGGTTTCACCTTATTATTGGTAATCTGGTTTAGGACGGCACCTGCAGCAACATTAGAGGCGTCAACCCATAATGAAAGTTCGGCGTTTGGTGACGGATGCGCAAGTAAAGCGCAGTTAGCTTGTCGTTTCTTACATTCTTCGAAACAGTGTATGGTTTTTGCTGTCCATTGTAAGCTGGAACTGTCATTGCGCAGGTTGCCCGGAACCATTTCGAACAGCGGTCCTTGAAAGTTTATCGCATTTTTCAAAAACCGACGATAAAAATTCAACATAAAATCGCTTGAGCTCTTTGGCGACTGTGGGTAGCGGGTACTCCACCATTGCTTTTACACGATCCAAAAGCGGGAGTATACCTTCGCCAGTGATACGATGGCCGAGAAAGTTTAGCTCCGTCGCGCCAAATTGTGACACATTACATTAATCGTCAGGCAATTTTCTTTTAAGCGATGAAAAACTGTCTGCAAGTGCTGCTCGTGTTCTGCAGGTCGAAGCGATGCAAATATCGTCCAGATAAGCAAAAACGAAGTCTAGACCTCGCAAAACCTCGTGAATTAACCTCTGAAATGTTTGCGTCGCGTTGCGCAAGCTGAAGGTCATGTAGGTGAATTCGTAGAGTCCAAAAGGCGTAGTAATCGCCGTTTTGGCTACGTCATTAGGATGAATAGGCACCTGATGGAATGCTTTCTGAAGGTCAATTTTGGAGAATATGGTTTTTCCGTTAAGTATAGCAGCAAAATCTTGCAAATACGGAAGAGGATAACGATCCGGCACGGTGTTGGCGTTCAATGCGCGATAGTCGCCGCATGGTCTCCAAAATCCATCCGCTTTCCTGACCACTTGCCCAACTGCTGCACGACGGCCGGCAAATTCCCAACTTCACCAAGGTTTCAAATTCTGCGCGGGCGGCGTTTAGTTTCTCTGGAGGTAGGGGGCGGGGTCTTGCGAACACGGGTTGACCGGTTGTCTCGATGCGGTGCGTTACCATTGATTTCGTTTTTGCTCCAGGTTTGGGACTACGTGTTATTTCCAGGAACTGCTTCAGAATATTGGAATAACGCGTGCCAGCGTCAAACGTTTTGACCCCAGCAATGTTGGTGTTTTCCAAAGCACATACAGCTTTAAGTGAAGTCAAACCGTCGTGCAAGCTTTTGCGCTTCACATCGACTATGAGATTGAAATTTGCTAAAAAAAATCTACACCTATAATTGCATGGTACACGTCTGCAATTAAAAAATTCCAAATAAATTCACGGCGTAAACCTAAACTAAGCTTTATTAGAACTTGGCCGTAAACATTTATTGCAGTGCCATTGGCGGCGAAAAATTTCATTGATGTAGGCGTAGCTCGAGCTGAATATAGGCTTTTTGGGACGACGGATACGTCCGCGCCCGTGTCTATTAAAAATTGAATATTGCTGGTTGAATCACGAATGCACAGTCGTGAAGTATTTTCGTTCTCCGAATGTTCGCCTAACTCCGAGAGTTCAGCTGAGCTGGCCTATTGCGATTTCTCGCTGGTTGAGGTTAGCTTTTTACCAAAAGCACATGGTTTGCGGCAATTGTTAGCTTTTTCCTTGTAGGTGGCGTGATACCAGCATACATCGTGTGCGCTGTTGCGAGAACGGGAACGAGAACGTGATTGTGAACGCGAACGAGAGTTCGTACGTGATTTGCGGCTGTCTAGCAAATGGCTGACATCGCGGGAAAGGGCTGCTATTTCTTTCTGAATTTGCTGGAAATCACTCAGCGTCGACGAAACTTCTTCCGCCTTGGAAGCGTTCAAAGACTCTATAATGGAATCTGCTATTCTTAACCTCTGAGCCAGCTGAACATCTGCTGCTGTAATTGCTCCACGTGCATGTGGAGGTAATCGTTCGATCCAAAGGTTAAGAAGCACGCAGTCACTGAGAGATGTACCCGCCACGCGTTTCATCTCATTATAGAGTTCACTTGGGCTCCTGTTAGCGGGAGGCATTTCTGAGAGCACCCTCTGCAAGCGGCGCTGCTCACGGTCAACAAAATGCTCGATCACCTTCTGATTGATGTCTGCGTACTTCCCTGTGGTAGGCGCTGCTTCGATTGCTGCTCGCAGATGTGGAGGCACAATTGCCAAAACGATGTTTTATTTTCGCGTGTCTCCAATCACCATAGATGCTTCGAACCAGAATTCGAGGGAGTAGAAGTATGCCTCGATGTTGCTTTCTGACAACGCCGGCAGAGGCAGCTTCGGCAGTGAAAGTGTGTGCATACTCTGCATACTCCTCGAATCTGGTGCTTGTATAACACTGCTGTCGCCATCCATATCACGTTGGGGTCACCAGTTGTAGGTTTTATTTCTCTTTATTAATTTATATTAATTAATTACAAAACTTACAAAACTATTAACAAAGGTTAGGATGACACGTGTCGGTAAAAAGATGAAAAAGCGAATCAATGAAAAGATTTTGACATTTCTTAAGGTTACGTTGACTGTGATTTGTGGTGTTGGAAGTTGTGCCGACAACAGAGTTGCCACACATATTTGGCAAACAAAATGACATATGGTAGGCAATTATTTTCGCCTGTGAGGTCGGTAACTAGCCTTTCAGTGTTGTAAAGAGTAATACGGCTGTCTCACGGTACCGTGAATTACTTTGTTCGCTCCTCCAATTACGATCGCGAATTACCCCATTCGCACGGGCACATTCTTAATTCGATTTGCCAGTTTTTTATCTCTGTGTTTCTTTTTTTCGCTACAATATTTATGCAAAATGTAAGTTATTGCTAAAAATTTATAAGTTTCCGTATTAAATTGGTGATGTACACATGTATAAATTTTACTTTTCGTACTCAAAAAAAGTGCCAGTTTTGCTTTGTGAACTACGTAATTGGGGTTGCGTGGAAAAGGAGTATTAAATATTATTGATCAAGGCTAAAAGGCATTGTTACACTGTTCAACTTTCAAAGGCAGTTAGTGGAATCAAAAGTTAACATCAATTAACTTAACGTTGAACAATGTAAATGCATTTTATGTAAATACAATAATTGTGTACATTTAGGAAAAAAGTAATAATATTCTGAACGAAATTTTTTGAAAGTTTCATCACTGCTATAAAACGTGAAAGGAGGACATTTTTGCTCAAAAGGAGGACAGAGAAGGAAAATTTTTTTGAGGAGGATAAATAATAATAATAATAATAGCGTTTTCATTTGCTGGTGGCGCGTTTCTTCCCTTCTGTGTTATCAGTAGTCTTCATTGAAAAACAAAAAAGAAAATGTTGGTTATAATAATAATCCCAACGGTTTTTACCCTCCATTCCCGCCCATCCGCACGAGGGGCGCAGTCCGCATGACGTACCGAACCAGTATTTATTATCAATTTTTGCTCCGAGTCACGATAGGCAGGATTTTGTTAAGTGTCGAGATCTAATACTGTTCAGCTACAGAACTAAATTCATCAGCCGATCTAATGTCTTTATTTTAATGATTCCTTTATTGAGAGAGGACAGTATCGATTTCTTAATGCTGAAAAGCGGATCTGATATATCAAACATGCTGGAATGAGAGTTAAAATCCTGGCATAATCAACGGAGTGGGTCGTGCAAATCAAAATTAATTTTACAAGCTTTCAGAAATAGGGGACAAAAGTGTCTTGATACCCGGGAGGGAAGATTAAGGCTAACTTCACATAGAAGAAGCGGACTTGAAATTGAGCCTGTTAGTAATTTAACTA